TTCAAACTTTTCCTGATATTCAGCTAAGGAACCAGTCTGACGGAGTTTGTTAAACTCAGCCACCATACCCCCATACGAACGATTCCCAAATCGTTGACACAGAGCAGCCACAAACTCCTCCCAAATCAACTCCCTTCTACCAATTTTCCACCCTTCGAACCACAAATCCGCCCTACGTTGGAAATAGATCACTGCTAAATTCACTCTCTGATCATTAGGTATACCATAGATCTCAAATAACTTCTCACATGTCCGAGTCCATTCACGAGGATCCTCACCGTTAAAGGTTGGAAAATCAAGTCGAGGAAGTGGAGGATTGTTACCGGGGCCTGGAGCTTGGAAGTGCTCCCGCTCTGCTGCAACCGGAATCAGAGCATGAACCCGCGGTGCCTGCGCCATGGCAGGATCGGCCCCCTGAAGACCGAGATTCGGTAAAGGAAGGATGCCTCAGGCGCCATTCCGATCTCCCAGCGGTACAGCCGCACCGGCAATGGGACCCGGCGGCCTCTGATTAACCATCAACTGGAGCATCTCACGGATCTCCACGGTGAAATTGCCAAAACGAGTGTTGAGACGATCTTCTAATTCAGCCAATCGCGTCGCCGAACTAGCCTCCATTGAATCCAGACGAGTAGTAAGATTGACGAACTGCTGAGAATGACCTTCCGAACGAGTTACCATTTCCTGAAACTGAGTAGCTTGAGACGTGACCAAACTCTGGACATCACCGATCTTATCATCCAGATCTCCCTGCGCCTGATTCGTCGACGCCATGAGGCTGGTAAGGCGCTCATCGATTGAACCGCGAGTGCTGATCATGATTGGCCAAGAGATGGCTCTGATACCACCTTGTCACGCCCTGGAGAAGAAGATAACTCTTGGCAAGGAAGAATCTCGAATCAGAAGAGGAATTGCAGAAGAGATTGAGAAGGAACAGAGAAGAAATGAGAGAGAGAGAAGAGAGAGAAAGAGGGGAGAAGAGTAAAGTTGTTATTATCTGTGTAAAGTTGGTTACAACGGTCCTCCCGGGCTCAGCTATATACTGTTGGCAAATAACCCAAACAGTCCCCATAACAATTTCCTATCTCATCACTGTTCTTCTAATTCTTTACAACTAGATCTTGTTCGTTACAATCACGAACCCTTTCGCGTTTTCTTAACTCGATTATCGATAGTCTAATCCGAAACTCGTTTTTTTTTATTAGCGGTAACGTTGAGGGTTCGATCAACAAGTAGATCAACATCTCGGGTCATCCAAACTAGTGATAGGCACGTTCTAGAGGTAAGGGAACTCGATCTCTTCGAGTTAGATCTATCAATTTGGTGATTTTCGTGAGGGTAGAATTCTGGGGTTTTAGCAACAGATGTTCAGGCTTTTAGTGGCAGATTTTGATTGGTCACTAAAGCTGCTGGGAATTTCAATAAACGTATTTTTGGATGTTTTAAATTTCTTCGAGCCTCTCTGAAAGTTTTTTTTCTGAATTTAACAATTTTATAAATTGCATGACGTCTAGGAGATGATTTTAATTTAATTTGGAGATTTTTGGAGATGTATTTCTATTTTTAGAAATGGTTCTAATATTCGTTTTAATTAAATAAAAATCTTTCCGATGTGTTTTTAAGGGTTTGATCATTTTCCAGGGTATAGGTGCTCATGATTGACATGGAAAAATTATCTTCTAAAATTATAAGAAGGTTCAAGTTAGGTGAAAAATTCGTCCAAGATAAAAATATATAAAGAAAAATGGTCGTTTTTTAAGGGATTAATTCTAGAAAATTTTAATGGGGGTTATAGGACCTTTGGAATGAGGTTCAAGGACTGGAGTTTGAGGGAGAATATGTCCTAGTGATTCAAAAGGGATTTTGAATCAAGAAAGGTCGTCTAAGAAAATGGACTTTTATTAATAGGTTTCCCCAAGATAATCCGGCTAAGGAGGGGTTTCTTCGAGGAAGGAATTGAGGAGTCATATGTTCGAGGTGAGTGTAAAGGGGGTAAAATCTCTGTCGTATGTCTTTTAGTTTATGCTTTTCGTTCAAGTTGTTATTTAGTTAATTTTCTAGTATGAGTGATATGTGTGTGAGGCATCCCACCGCCTGTAAGGGTGGAGGCACGCGTTGTGGTATGTATGAATGTATGTGATGATGTATGGATTGATGGTATCAGGAACCCTCGGGCGGTTGGGTCACTACTGGACGGCGAGACGTAACGCAGTAGTTGACGGGCATGGACTGGACGGCGAGACGTAACGCAGTGCCATTGCTGAGTTTGGGTATGCAACCGGACGGCGAGACGTAACACGGTGGTCCTAGAGTTTTGTGTTGAGAAAAGGATAGAGGTCGAGAACTTTTATGAGTTAATGTTGAAATGAGTTGCTAAGAATGGTTATTTAAGAGCAGAAAGCGAGAACGACTTTCATGCTAGGAAGGCATTCCCCTAATAATGTGTTTAGTAAGGAGTTTGCCTAGGGCAAAGACCTTAGGAAGTAACGACGAGACTGGCCCTTTCTCACTCACCAGGTGCAGAGAGGGGAAGAGAACGCATCCATCAATAGGAGGTTACTCGAGGAGAGCAGCCGCGGCAAACCTGAAGATGTCAACTGGATCTGGGTAACGAGATGGGACCTCCCATATATTTTGTCTTTAGTTTCATGTCTTAATGAGTATTCTGGGAAACTCAAGGGTTGTGTTTTATGTTTTGTTGCTCTGGATTGAGGTCGCCCAAGTGTTTGGGGCTTTTCGCTGAAATCTTAAGCATTGTGGTTGTTGTTTTTTTTTTTTTTGGTTTTGACTTGCAAACCGTTTTGGGTTGCTCCGGAGTAACCGGTTTTTAGTTTGAATTGTGGTTTGGTTTACAAAAAGGATCGGGTCGTGTCACATAGCTAACACCAGACATGGCAACGACGAAAGCAAACCAAGAAGAGAGACGCGTGAACATGGGTGTCGAGAAAAAAATTAGGGTTTTTAGAGTTGGAAAACCAGGTCTGAAATCATGTAACGTTTAGGAGAATTTTGTGTATTATCATTATCACAAGGGGTATTTATACCCAAGGAGTAAATGTACAAGTATACTACAAGAAAACATATGCACAAAGTAACTTAAGATACAAGTAAAACACATTCCTTATCCCTACTAAATTGAGGGGTTTAATTAATTGGGTGTCATAAAAAAAATTTAAAATGAATTATTGGCCATTGAAGGTATTATGGTCATTTTCTAGCCCATTTAACAGCAATTTAACAGAAAATTAGATGAAAGTATATATTCGTTACATTTTAATATAAGAGGAATATGTTATATTTTAATATTAAAGGAATATGTTTCTGCAAAAATTTAGTAAAATGATATGGTTGTTAACTTTGCGATACTAAAGGGTAAAAAATTATATTAACCCCAATTTTACCCATTTTCAAAATTGAGACTTTCTCCAAATCCAATCTCCCGAATACCTCCATCTGCTACAAACTTTTGGTGCCATGTCCCATTTGTTGTTGTGTTTTCCATTTCTTACTTCCTCTTTGTAGTTACAATTGGCTGGCACAATGAGTATCTTGTATACTGCATGCATCTTTTTCTTTATGTCATGAGTCATAATTCAACATTCTTCAAAAGAGGAAAACTATCTAACCTTGCAGTATAATTTTTAAGATCGATTGTAGTGTTCACGAGGCCCATGTAAAAGCTGATCACTATGCATCCACCCATTAAATCGAATCACACAACCAGAGTTTCGCAAATTTTAAATTAAAGTGGAAAATTGTCACCACTTCCATCCGACAATGGCGAGACACAACACAACAATCATGTTCCTGTCCCTATAGACTATAAGCACCTTCTCCAAGGTTGTCAACCCGCGGGTCGACCCGGATTAACCCGGACCCGACCAAAAAAACGGGCCATACCAACCCATTTTCATGTCAGCCCGGAAATAGTCAAACCCGGAGAAATCTGGTCAAACCCGGGTTGACCCGGCCGGTTAGTCCATTGGAGCGGGTCAGCGGGTTGCTCTTCCTGAGCCCCGTTTTGGCCGCTGCGTCGCCGTTTCTGCGGACTACGCGGAGAGCAAACGAGGAGGGGAAGCGGCGCCGTTCTGCTTGGTGTTGGCCTGCTGGTCGTCTAGAAACCAAAACCCTACAAGCATACATAACATTCCATTTCCAGCAGCGCAGCCATCTCCCTCTCCCGCAGCCGATCGATATCGCCACGCCAGGGTTCTTCGGCGGCGCGCTCCGGGTCGCCGACGAAGAGAATCATCTTCGCAGGTCGGCCGCCACCGTTCCGTCTCCCCTCCCTTCTGCTCGGCCGCCTCTGATCACCGCCTCTGCTCGGCCTCCGCCTCGGCCGCCACCCTTCTCATTGTCGGTCACCAATTCCTTCGCCGGCGGAGACCATCTTCTCATTGTCTTTTCTTTTCCATTATGTGTGACCCGAGCCTCTCCATTACCTTTAGTTCCCTGAGTCATAATTATTTGGTAAGGGTTTGGGATTTGGTTCCCATAAATGGAACGAAAGATATATGTGATGTCTTGTGAATGATTTAAGTGTTGTTGAATTTTTACTATGTTGAATTTAAGTTGATGTTATTTAAGTGTGTTGGAGTTGAAGTAATGTTGCATTTTTTTTATGTTGGATTCACGATAAGTATAACATAATTACATTTTCCATATTTCCGGGCTAAACCGGGCTAAAACTAGTGACCCATTGATCCATGACCCACTACTCACTAGCTCATCCGGGTCCGGGTCGACCCGCGGTTTGACAACCTTCACCTTCTCACAAATTGTCCAGCAAGCGCAATAGCCCAATCATATTTACTGAACAACACATCTTGTCGAAAATGTTCAACAAAAAGTAGGGGGAAAATTCCTCACGGAACCTAACTCAAAATGGTAAAAAAGTAGTTAACCGAGCTGCCCACGAATCGACGTCGTAAGTAAGCACAGTAACTTTTGCTAAGTCCTTATAAATTATAATTAGATAGATTGATCTCTCTCCTTCGCAGAAAGGCGGTAATCGTAATAGCAGCGAGCAGCCATGGAAGCCTACGCAAGTTCTGCTTCTCTTCCATCCCTCATTTGTTCCCATCGATCCAAACCCAAATTCGCGAATTCCCATTCCAGTTCCGTACCTACTGCGCCTTCTCAGCCATTACTTCGAACCACTACATCGTCCAAATTCAAGCTTTTCTCTTCCCCTGTTTCAGTGGAAGTACCACTCGAAGCAGCCGACGCCTCCGCCACCGCCGCATTTTCCTCCGGCGATGAAGAGAAGTTCGACTGGTACTCACAGTGGTATCCAGTCATGCCAGTGTGCGATTTGGACGAGAGGGTCCCACATGCGAAGAAGGTGTTGGGGATGGACGTGGTGGTGTGGTGGGACAGGAACGAGAATGCGTGGAAGGTGTTCGATGATATGTGCCCTCATCGCCTGGCTCCGCTATCGGAAGGAAGGATTGATCCATCGGGAAGGCTGCAGTGCGTTTATCACGGTTGGTGTTTTGATGGCTCTGGCGACTGCAAGCTCATCCCTCAAGCCCCTCTTGATGGTCCTCCAGTAAGTAGTAGTTGCGCTTACTTCGATCATATAGTTTCTCTTCCTGCATTGATTCTTTGCTTTCTATCATTATGAACTCCGATTCTTAATGAAGGGATGAACTTGGGGGCAAAAAATTTGCAGGTTCATACAAGTAAAAGGGCTTGTGTTGCAGTGTATCCAGCAATAGTGCATCATGACATCGTTTGGTTTTGGCCAAACTCTGATCCTCAATACAAAGACATCTTTGAGAAAAAGAAGCCTCCTTTCATTCCAGAGCTGGGTGATCCATCATTCACTAAGATTATAGGAAACCGCGATGTCCCTTATGGGTAAAAAAAAGCTCATTATATTGCTCTGGACCTCTTATTGAAAATAACATTGACGAAATTCTTTGCACTGGTTTTGAAATTAATAATTTCCCTTTTGCGTTTATTGGTTTAGGTATGATGTATTGATAGAGAATCTTGCAGATCCTGCTCATCTTCCCTATGCACATTATGGGCTGGTACCAACACAGCCATTGAAGGGTATATTTTGATTACTGACGAGCCAGTCACTTGATTTCATTTTCGGTATGATTTGTGAAGCTACTCAAGTTGACTGGAAGTCCCCGTTTTTACCAGAGAAGCGTGATAAAGAAGGGGGAAGACCAGTTGAATTTACAGTGAAGAAACTAGGCGTAGAAGGATTCGATGCAGAACTTGGATTCGGCTACAGTAAATTTCATGCACCCTGCATAATTTCTATCCATACCCATATACCTTCTAGGCCCAATGAGGTAACTTGAAATTGGGTCTCGTTGATTCTAGCTAGAATTTCGGTGAGCGTCCAATTGGAGATGAAATTATCTGCTGAGTCGTTCTATGTCTGCTCTTTGGCGTTGCTTTCTTGTCCTGCAGCCATCTATAGAGCGGAAGACGGCATTGGTTTTCATGTGTATCCCTGTCAGTCCAGGCCATAGTAGATTAATCTGGGTGTTCCCGCGAAACTTTGATGTTTGGGTCGATAAAGTTCTACCAAGATGGATGACCCATATGGGGACAAACTTACTGCTGGACTCTGATCTATATCTTCTCCATATTGAGGTGATTTTTACTTGGCCCTTTCCTTTAAGCATTTCACACGGATATCACCACGGCTCTCATTTGTTAAAACATTGTCTGGACGTAAAACATCGTTTCGTTTGACAGGAGCGCAAAATCAAAGAAATCGGGCCTGAGAATTGGCAGAAGGCATGTTTCTTGCCTGCCAAGTCCGATGGTCTGGTTGTTGGCTTTAGACGATGGTTCAACAAGTATGCGGATAGTGAAGTCGATTGGAGAGGCAAGTATACGGGCGAACTTCCTCCAACCCCGCCGAGAGAACAACTTATGGATAGGTATTCGATACTTGTTTTCCATCTTAAAATCTTCATTTCGTTAGGACGAATCGTGGTCAGTTGTCTCTCTCATTTTGGTTTTCCAGGTACTGGACCCATGTGGTGAACTGCAGCAGCTGCAACTGCGCGTACAAGTGTCTGAATGCTGCCGAGATCATTCTCAAGGTCGTTGCTGTTGCCATAATTGGTGTTGTTGCAGCAACCAAGCAAGGGGTGATCACAGCTTCCACAAGAACTGGGCTGGCGATATTGGCTGCGTTGTGTTATGCGGCTTCCAAGTGGCTGGCTCATTTCGTGTACGACAACTTTCGCTACCACGACTATAATCACTCGTTTCCTGAAAAAGTGATGCTCTTTCTTCGCATTTTTGGGCTAGGCATCGCTTTGTAGTCGTAATTGACGTTGAGATGGTAAATGGGTTGTTCGTGATCTCTACCGTGGTACAGTAGAATTCGAAGCAAACACCATATCTAGTGTGTATGATAATAAAGTAAGCCAGATCTTGAAAGCATTACTGTTGCATAATGTGATGTTGGGCCAATTAATGTACAGCAACATCAATAATTTGTCTCCCCAACAGTGCACCCATCTCAAGAGTCAAAAAGAGTCGGTTTCAGTCATCTTTCCGGTAAAGCATGGCATCTCATCACATCTCTTCGGAACATACAGTCAATACTATCCCTGTATCCCACCATCTCATATTGCTATCTGCCTCTGCCTGCCCGCCCACACGATATAATAGTTTAATGTGCACATGGTCCATGAAGAAATAATTAGTCGTTACATTTGTCTAATATAAAAGATAAAGTATATCATTATATCAAACATTTGCTAATCTAACGGGATAAAATATCACCCTTTTTGACCTGCTTCATGGCCGCCCATGCAGGGGATTATCAATTGCTAAAAAAAGAAGAATGATACCCAACTGTGTAAATACCCAATAGTGTACTGTAATTTCAACTATTCGTGCTTTAATGTATAATTTAAAGTTATATTATAACGTTAAATGTATAAGTTTAGGTTGTACCATAAGAGTATTTGTCCTTCTATGTTATGATACAATTTCAAGTTATACCTAACATAAAAGTACAAATTCAGGTTGTACCATAAAAGTGATTTATACAAAAGATTATAGGTACAACCTCAAATTGTACCATAATGTTAATGGTACAACTTTAAGTTATACCATAAAGACAAAAAATTAAAGTACTAATACCATTGTAAAATTACTCATAGAGTAGTACCCATATGTGTATTATATGTGTTCCTGGCCTTGAGGAAGCCCTTTTGTGCCTCATTTCAACTGTAACCTTATTTCAGTTATCAAACTGACAACAAGTACCTCTTTATGCTTAACATTCTTCTCCAATGTTTGCCATGTACAGGATATGCAACTCAAGAAGATGACTGGTTCTGCTAAACTATCCGAAGGCCTTTACCTCATAGATCCCAACCCCACAGACAGTATACCGAAACACATCACAGCTACTAGCTACCACACTTTTGATTTTTAGCATTACAGACTTGACCATGTTTCTCATTCCAAAATCTCTTCCTTGAGAGAAATATGTACCTCCATTAACACAGACAAGTCATTGCCTCTTGATGTCTGTCATTTTACAAGGCAGAAAAGACTCCCTTTTCCTTATAGCAACACTGTTTGCACACAACCTTTTCAGCTTATACACATTGATCTATGGGGTCCCAATTCTATTCCTAGCTATGATGGCTTTAAATATATTGTAACCATTGTAGATGATTTCACTAGAATGACATGGACCATTCTATTATCTTCAAAATCAGAAGCTATAACCAAATTCCATGAATTTTGTCTTTATGTCCAAACCCAATTTCAAACATCTGCTCAAAGGATTAGAAGTGATCAAGGAAAAAAAATTCAAATGAATGCTTTTTTCAACAACACAGGTATCTTCCATGAATTATCCTGTGTTGAAACCCCACAGCAAAACAACAAAGTTGAAAGAAAACATCAACACATTCTTGTTGTTGCTAGAGCTTTGAAATTCCAAGCAAATTTACCATCTGGTTTTTGGGATGAGTGTTAGACATGCAGTTCACTTAATCAATCGTGTTCCTTCAATTGTCCTGGGGAACAAAACACCGTTTGAGCAACTCTTTAATCATAAGCCCGACCTTAGAGCATTAAGAGTATTTGGTTGTCTTTGTTTTGCTACCTCTTTAAAAAACTACATAACCAAGTTTGACTCTAGAGATAAGAAATGGGTTGTCATTGGTTTCACAACAGGCATCAAAGGCTACAAGATATATGATCTTGCTACCAATGAGATTTTCACTTCCAGAGATGTTCACTTCTATGAACATCACTTTCCTTTCAAGGACACTCACTCTGACCAGTCCACCACTTATTCCCCTCCTACACCACTTACACTGTTTCATGACCCAACTCCCAATTACAACCCCCATCACCCACCAATCCTACCACTAGCCAAACTGATCACATCAACCATCTTCACTATAACAGTGATGATGATCCTGATACTGACTCCATCACTCCTATACCCCAACCTCCTATCCCACCTCCCTCGCCAATACCCCCACCACCATCTCAACCTATCAGAAAGTCCAACAAGACCTCCAAACGACCTCCACACCTTCAAGACTACCATTGCAACCTGCTTCAGCAGATTCCTTCCACCAGTCATCTTCCACAACAATAAATCCAAGGTACTAAACAATCCCTCTCTACATTTCTTGATTAGTCTATGCTTTCTTCTTATAAAAAACACTTTGTCATCTCCATCTCTTCCCACGAAGAACCTGATACATACAAAGAAGCAATTCAATTCCCAGAATGGGATTCTACTGTCACCTTAGAACTATCTGCCCTTGATGCTAATGAAACCTGGGAAGTGGTTGAATTGCCAGTAGGCAAAAGAGCCATTGGTTGCAAGTGGGATTTTCGCATTAAATTCAATACTAAAGATCTATTTACATATTTAAGCCAGACTTGTAGCCAAAGGCTACAATCAACAAGAAGGTGTTGATTACCAATATACTTTTGCACCAGTTATTAAGATGACTAATCAGATTATTCTAAGCAATTGCAACAACTCAAAACTGGCATGTTCACCATTTGGATGTGAACAATGCTTTTCTTAATGGAGACCTTGACCAAGAAGTCCACATGGAACTTCCCCCTTGCCACAAGGCACCTCCAAGTTTCAAGTCTCCATTTTGTCTCCTAAAGAAGTCCCTATATGGTCTCAAACAAGCATAAAGACAATGGTTCTCTAAATTCGCAAACAAACTCATATAACTAGGGTTCCAATCCAACAGAGTTGATCATTCTCTATTCTACAAGGCTACCACCACCTCATACACATGCATTATGATATATGTAGACGACTTAGTCATTTCAGGAACACAATTAAAGGAAATCACTAGCCTCAAGCACTTCCTACACAATGCATTCAACAACAAAGATTTGGGCCCCCTCAAGTTCTTTCTGGGTATTGAGGTTTCCAGATCAAGAAAAGGAATTCACATATCTCAACGTAAATATACATTGGAAATATTGGAAGAAGCAGATTTATTGCACTACAAACCTGTTCCCACTCCCATTGACTACAAGGAACATCTATCTTCCCAACATTCAGATCCTTTCCCTGATCCAACTCCATACAGAAGACTTGTTGGCAAACTTATCTACCTAACAACTACCAGACCATAAATCAGCTATGCTACACAACAGGCCGGTCAGTTCATCTCCAACCCAAGTCAAGATCATTACAAAGTAGTTATTCGAATCTTAAACCTCAAATCAGCTCCATCAAGTGGTCTTTTCTTCTCTGCTAACACTTTCCTTCAATTGAAGGCCTTCAGTGTCTCAAACTGGGCAGGCTGCATTGATACACGCCGCTCTACAATAGGTTAATGTGTCTATCTTTGTGACTCCCTCATTTATTGGAAAAGCAAGAAGTAGACCACCATCTCTCGCTCTTCATGAGAAGCTGAATATATAGCTCTTGCCCATACAAGCTGCAAAATCCAGTGGCTTTCTTCATCTTCTCCCATAAGCCGATTTTGGCCATATATATATATATTGATGTACATGTAACGTGAATGATTAACTAATATTATGATCAGTAGCTCGGAGAGTGTTGAGGCTCTCCCATGGATTATTAGTCCTAAACACTTCAAGGATAGCACGGAAATCTGTTTATCTCTCTATTATTCGATTTATTCAATATGACTAATTTGATAGTGTTATTGTCATATTTTGGAACCTTTAGTACCTTTGCCCTAGAGACTTGTGTTGCTGGGCATATAAATAGGTTTAGCCTCTTGTGCGGCTGCCTATTATTAACCTGCAGCACACATACAGTAGCAGATGAAATAAGAGCTTTAGATCGTTGTGTCGTGTGTTTGCTTTTCTTCCGCATTCGTTTATTTTACATGGTATCAGAGCGGGCTTCGCTCTAGGGATTTTCTTGCAGTTCTCTTGTGATGGCGAAGTACGACAAAAAGGTAGGGATGACGTCTGGCACTGCTGATGTCGGCGCAGAGGCTATCCCATTGAACTCGCCGTTGTTCCTTCATCCCTCTAAGAACCCCGCCCAATTGTTTCGGAGTGACCTGCTCACGAATTCTAATTACGGTGAGAGGGTGAATGACATGCCCGAAGTTCTTATCGCTAAGAACAAGATGGCTTTTGTTGATGGGACGTTACAAAAGCCAATGGCTGGAAACAAGAAGAGGACTGATTCCCGGGCACATTGTGATGCCACCGTGAAGGGTTGGCTTAAGACGGCGATGACCAAGGAGGTCCGCGACAGTGTTTGCTCGGCTCTCACAGTGAGGGAAATCTGGTCCGACCTTGAAAAGAGGTTCGGAAAAGGAGCAACGCCGCGTGCTTACGAGTTTCGTCGTTTTATAAATGGAACTCGGCAGGAGAAGCACACTATTTCAGCATTCTACACACGCCTCCGCACCTATTGGGACGAGATGCAGGCTGTCAACCATGACCCCCATTGTAAGTGCGATGGTTGCACTTGTGGAGGCAGTAAGTGTGACTTGCCGGGGCGGCAACGTGAGAAGACTGAGATGGAGCGCCTTTTTAAGTTCCTTATGGGACTATACACCGTCTTCGCCGTCGTCATAACTCAGTTGCTAAGCATGAGGCCTACACCTACTCTGGCCGATGCTTATCAGGCTGTGTTCACTGAGGAACAACAACGTAACATAACGGCTGGGCGGCGTCCTGTTGTAGAGGCATCGACTTTTATGACAAATGGAGAGCAAGGGTGTTCTGAACGGGATACGGGAGACAAGCCTCGCTGCACCCATTGTCATAAGCTTGGTCATACGATTGATACCTGCTATAAACTTCATTTGTATCCGCCGGATCTTCCGAAGCAGCACAGCTTGATCAGTTGAAACAGCTCCTGGCAGATTCGGCAAAATCCTCATCGTCGAGCAATCTTGAAGCACACATGGCTGGTAATCTCTCTGATTTATCTGTATAGCTGATTGACTCGGGATGTAATAAGCATAATGTGCGGGATAGTAGTTGGTTAGATGAATTAGATGCTTCAACTATTCTTGCTCCCGTACATATACCGAATGGGGAGAGTGTTCCTGTGCGTGGTACAGGGCCAGTTTAGTTGACTGAAAG